GGAGGCTGAGACAGAAGGACTGTTGAGAGTTCGAGGCCAGCCTGTGCTACAAAGTGAGCTCAAGGTCAGCCTGAAATGCATAGTGAGACCCTGTCTCAAAAAGACAACAACAAAAAATAATAATAATAATAATAATAATAATAGTAATAAGTAAATATAAAAAAAGAAAGATGACTTCGAAACTGTTTCAAAAAGTGACAAGAATGAAGGGATAAGTATGTTCCAAGTGATGGCAAGTATTCTGAGGGGGACTGATGGCAGTGTGTCTTTTACTGTAGTAATTTTTTAAATTTAAACCTTTACTATACAGTTTGATCACCCCTTGTATAGTATGCACCACAAAAAGAGGGGAGATTAAAAATGGCAGAGAAAATGCAAGCAGCAAAACACAGCCTCTACGGGACCTAGAATTGAGACACCTGGAAAACAACTTAGCAGTGAGCAAAAGAAGTAGAGCTCCAGGAGTCAAGGAAGAGTCAATAGGAAAACTAGAAACCACAAAAACTAGAGAAACTGAAGCCAATGCAGAGAAAATAACTAAGCAGTCTAAACACTAAGCTTGGCTCTCAGGGAAAGGTTGACTCTGAAGCACAAGGTAAGCCTGAAAAGGGCTGGTACCCCAAAATGAACAGTGACCTGACAGTGCTAGCCCCCCATGAAAACTCACAGTTATTTTAAGCTATTAATACAATGTAGAATTCTCCTCTGAAAGTGATTGCTTCACGTGGCAGGCTAAGGTTGGAGGAGAAATCCACTGCAGTGCCACTATATTAGAGTGACTTGTCAGGACCCATTTTGGAAAGGGGCTTATTTTAAGAATGAGCTATTCCAGAAATCCTAAATCAGAGAGAAAAACTACACTTCAGGGTCTCCAGGGCCATCCTACCGCACTGACTGGGTGGTAGACAGCCACAACAGACAGGAGAAGGAGCAGGCTAGTCACAGACACTCTTGAGAAATTTAAACAGCAGTCAGCTCAGCCTGGGAAGGACACAGCAGTCCCGCTCTGTGGAGAGCAGCCAGGCTGGTTTTCTGAGGAGGGCTGGGTAGGAAAGTGCTCACATCAAGCCCAAGGGACTTCCCTTGCTGCCTACTGCCAGCAGAGTTCAGTGGTGTGTTTGCTTCTCCTGTCTCCCAACATAATCAGGGACACCTCAGCTTGGATACTTGTCACAACAGGCCCCAGCTGTGATGCACCACCCCATCCTTGAGGGGAAACTACTCACCCAAACACAGGAAGAATTTCTTAGACTAGTTTCTCCTTTTGCTGTTTGTTTTGCTTTGTTTCATTTTACTTCTTTTGTTCTTTGTTTTTGTTCTTTTTTATTTGTCTTTTCTTTTACTAATTTACCTTTTTCTGTAACTTTTCCCTAATTATATTTCTTTTGTTTAATTGGATTTTTGTCATACTTTTGTTCAACAAGTTTAAAGAAACAAAAAATAACTGAGGTTAACAAGACGAGGGCTGGGGATTTAGCTCAGCGGCAAAAGCGCTTGCCTGGCAAGCGCAAGGTCGTGAGTTCGGTTCCCGGTACCGGAGAAAAACCAAAACCAAAAAAAAAAAAAAAAAAAACAAGACGAGACATAAGTGGAAAAAAAAAGACATAAATGACTACTTCAGTAAGGAAGTAGAAAGTATGAAAAGAAAACACGCAGAAGTAGATCATATGAAGACTTCAATGGAAAGCACGGGGAGCAGATTTACCCAATGTGAGGACAAGTGACAGAAATAGAAGACAAGGTGGTAGATGTAGTGGATCATAAACTCAGTGTTACTCCCAAAACAACAAGACACCATAGAAACTGGATCCAACCATCACTACATGATTAACAAAACAGAAAAACCCCACGGAATTATAAGACTGGAACAGCCAGCATAAGATGGGCCACAGTCAGAGTGGCAGCCATGGTCCAGGAGGCGGTAAGGACGACAAGAGCAAGAAAAACAAATATGAACCTCCTGTACCAACTACAGTGGGGGAAAGAAGCAAATAAAGGGACAACATGCGCCAGCAGACTGCCACTAGTAACACTTCACTCAGTGCTGCTTAAAATTACTGAAGTTAGAATTAAAGACTGCCTTCCCACAGAGAGTTCATTACAAATAAGAAGCCTCCAAAGCCTTCTAACTCCCCAAAGAGTGATCTCACAAACACTAGAATAGAGGCAAGGAACTCAAAAATCAATGGTCAAAATGTTTAAAGAGATAAAAGAAAAAAACATATAAATAAATGCATAAGATGCTTAATGAGCTCATAGAGGATTTAATTAAACAGACAAATCAAACAAAAAAATGTAACAAAGGGGCCAGGGATATAGCTCAGCAGCACAGTGCCTGCCTGGCAAGCACAAGGTCTTGAGTTTGATTTCCAATACACACACATACAAAAACAAAAAGCAACAAAGAAACATCAGAGTTAAACCATACCACTGAAACAATGAATTTACAGATTGCCTATAGAATGTTTCGTTCAACAAAAATAAAATACACACTTTTCTCAGCAGTTCACAGAACTTTTTCCAGAACAGACTACATCTTAGATCATAAAGCATGCTTAAATAAATACAAAAGAATTGAAATAATTCTCTGCATACGAACGGATTAAAACAAAATGAAGCTAGACATCAACAGCAAAAGCAGCCAATGAAACTATGCGAATACATGGAAGTTAAATATTACACTATTGAATAATCAATGGATCACAGAAGAAATCAGGGAAGAAATAAAAAATGGAAGCAAAACATACCAAAACCTATGAGATATAAAGAAAGCAGTTCTAAGAGGGACATTTATAGCTGCGAATACTGTACATACATAAAAAGAATACACCAATCCCAAATAAATAACCTAATGATGCTGCTCAAGGTCCTAGGAAAAAAAAAAAAAGAACAAGCCAAATCTGAAACTAGTAGAAGGAAATAAATGGTAAGAATCAGAGTAATGACATTGAGCCTAAAAAACAAATACACAAAGGAACAGTCAATCAAAAAGTTAGTTGTTCTTTAAAACAACGGGAAGACAGCCTGGAAATAGGGGCAGAAGGGAAGTGGGGAGAGAAGGCTAAGTAAAAAGAATCAGAATGTGATACGTATATGTACAAGTTCCCCCGCAATTAATGTATTTACTATGTATCACAGACAAATACACTAATAAAAAAGGGGGAAAAGCGATTCAGGCCTGCTCCTTCTCTGTGACAAGCAGACATCTGATGTATGCAGTGCAGGGCCCACGTCCTCACATATGGAAGCTTACCTGATGGAGGTGAGGAGAGGTATCTGGGAAGACACACAGCTGCTGTCAAAGATCCTGCAAAACAAAGATCAAGAATGGAATAACATACTCTTAATTATTCCATAAAAACGTTTGGAAAGAACACACATGTATGTAAGAAGACACTCACTGGTTTGTGGCAACCAGATTCTAAACTCAGCTGATATATTTAATAAAACTTTTAAGGTAGCCGGGCATGGTGGTGCACCCCTACAATCCCAGCACTCGGGAGGCTGAGGCAGGAGGATCGTTGTGAGTTCGAGGTCAACCTGGGCTACAGAATGAGCTCAAGGCCAGCATGAACTGTATAGCAAGACCATGTCTCAAAAAAGAAAAAGAAAAGAAAAAAAACTTTTAAGGTATATATAAAATTCAGCACTTATGATGTGGACATAATCTATTTAAATGCTCTCACCCCAAACTTAAATGAACATTCCAAAGTAACAGTCAGGACCCCACAACTATATTCAGATACATAGCAATATGACACATACATTAAAAATGCAGTCTGAAAATGCAAACTTATCTACAAGTTCAGTGCATGTGCCAAAAGTGATTTCCCTATGACAGCCATCAGGTGAGGGTCTGACAGTGCTGTCCAAGGTGGTGCAGAGATTAAAAAAGAAAAGCACTCACGCAGAGGTGTCCAGAGGCCCTGCGGAGTACCCTGGCAGGAGAAAAGCACACTTCTCACCACATCCTCCCCTCTGCAACAGTTTCTGGGCAGTTTCCAGGCATGAGACTCTAGTGAGAGCTTCTTGCCTAATTAAATTACTAGAAAGCAAAATTACTAATGGTTACTGTAACTGAGAGGGAAATTAAAATTTTAAATAAAGCCTGCCAAGAATGCCTGCCAAAACCAGATGTATGTGTCCAGACAAGCCTGATAATGGGACATTTCTTCCTTTGTGTAAGCCATGCCTGTTTACTTAACTGACGGCCCTGCAATGTAACCTGAGGTATTTAAACTCCCTTAGCAACCCATGATGTCACACAACCCTCCAATCACAATGCACCAAATCTGTCTTTGTATCTCCCTGCTTGCTGTCCCTACAAAAGTCCCAAAACCCTGCCAGGCAGGGCTCTGACTCTGTGGGAGAGATGCCAGTCAAGCCCACCAGTATAAACTGCCTCCTAAACCTTCTTGGTGCCATTTCTTCCCGTGTTTGGTCTGTTTTCTGTAACATAGCAAGACTGAACCTTATAGTGTAAATAAACAGGAATGGGACAAATGGGCAGCTCTTGAGAAAAAGGAAACTGTTTAGGTAGAAAGAGACACAGAGATGCCATTCCTTCCATGGTGACTGACTGTTCATCTCTCAGTGACACTCACAGACTCTGAGAAACTAATGGGGCACCAGGGACACACTTCAGACCAGGCCCTTCCCTAGCAGAAATGAGGGGCCATTCAGAGCCTGGCCTATGGAACACATTCACACATACCTAAACGTGAATTAATAATAAATGCACTCTGAATTCATATAAGGTAAAACTCCCAAACTGAGAAGAATTCGCAGTTTTACACAAAACTGGAAATTCTAGACAAAAACAAAGAAAACAAAATCATTTGCCATTGTGACTGCATTAACATTCTCTACCTTGTTTTCCCCCTTTGTGTTCAAGAGAGGGCATCTCACTACATTGCCCAAGCTGGCCCTGAACTTTGGGTCTCAAGCAAACCTCCCACCTGGGCCTCCCAAGTAGCCACGACTACTGGCATCTCCACATCTCTTTTTGCTATTCTGAGACAGGGAATCACTGCATAGTGAAGGCTAACCTTGAACTCACTATATAGCCCAGGATGATCCTCCTTCCTTAGCCTCCTGAATGCTAGAATTACAGACATGTGCCACCACAGCTGACTCACATCTCTTAAAATTGACATTATTTTCTATTTTTTGTTCAAGTGACTTTAAAAATCAATTTTTAGGAAGTAACTATAGAAAATAATCAAAGCTAGGGGCTAGGGATTTAGCTCAGCACCTGCCTGGCAAG